ACATGTTACAAAACACATATTTTATACAATTATTAAAAAATCGAGATTTAGCAATCTCGACAGCTTCTAATAAAAAGTGAATACTCTGGATGTTTCGGACGGTGTTGAGCAAAAACGCTATCCGGCTTTCTTATAAATGCATTTTCAGGGTTTTGGTTGGTAATACACTACTTTTACAGTTCCCAAGAATCAACACCGCAAATGGTGACTGTTCCAAAGTTTGCTGTTGGCGCAGCGGAGCAAGGATCATCCTTAGAAGGTAACACATACTTTATTTATCTTTCCGGTCAAATTGCGAGAGCTGATCTATTGAAATTGAGCACTCCGGACACATTGGGACGGTGATGAGCAAACATGGTACTCCCCTGCTTCCTCTCACAAATGCCTTTTCAGACTTCGATTGTTCAGAGCATGTCATTCAAAAGGGTGCATTCGGGCTGGAGACAATTCCGTTGCTTCAAGAGGCAGAGCAAAGACGATCATCGTTCAATGGTACTGCACAATTTCGCAACAATTTTGCTGCATTGTGTTAAAACTGCTCTGCTAGAAGTGGACCCCCACAGTCCCCAGAGATGGGCAACCACGGTAATCGGGATGTACGGACTGCCGGGTAACCCGCACCGCCACAGTTCTCACGATGTATATAAATGTAATTTCACCTTCCGAAATGCAGCTTAATTTCGTTCCTCCGTCTCTGCCTCTACAAAAAGAATCTGGCTGAGAGTTTTGAGCGTGTAGTTTGTTGGCACTCAAATCCAGAAATTACGGAACCGTGTGGTCCTCAGTGTGCACGATTATAATTTTTTTTGGCATAAAACCCGGTCAATTTTTCGATGAATGCTTGTTCACCGAAAAAAAAGCAAATTTGAAGGGAGTCGGAAGAGGATTACGAAATCTACAAAACGCACTAGTTTTTAAGCTTGCGATAAAGTTGAGTATTTGTCATGTCTGCGAGCACAGAATTTCACCTCCAGACTGAATTAAGACCATACGTGAATATAGGATATCCCTGCATAAGATATCCTTCAGCTTCATAGCTTGTCTGGTAAACGAAATAGCTACTTCGCTACAAATATTATTGAAGTGCCCTAAATCGTGGCACAAATGCAGACCGAAGCTCAATTTAGGTATACGATTTTCCATATGGACAACAAATATTCTGACAAATTTCAGCCACTGTTTAACTTCGAATTTTGATGTGGCCACACACGCGATAAGCATGTACGATAGATGAATTTGGAAACTTTAATGCACGGAGCACATTCCGGCAAAGTTTCAGCTTTATACCTTTTCTGGATCAAGAAATTAATTCCTGCCAAAGAAATCTGCATATTTTTTTCGGGTTCCGTACGCAAGATCTAGACGTATATGAGCGAAGATTTTAAAGGATGAAACATGGGATGGGAATATGACCACAAAATTTCAGCCTCCTAGTTCTTCTCGTTGCTGGATTGAAAGTAGGTGATGAAACTCATTCACTTTCGAACAAACAAACGGATGACCTGTAGACAGATCTAGGATGACTTCTTGGGTAGGTGAGGTGTGGAGGGAGCAGCTCAACCTCTCCGCGCCAGCAGACCTACTTCCTCCATCTCCGATCATCGCTTCTGGTCTAGCGAGGACTAGAGGACGGCAGAGGGAGGGGAAGTTTGGTGTACCAGTGCAGCGACTGGGGAAAGTGGGGCTGCTGCGGGGAGGTGAGCAACGGGGAATGCGAATGAGTTTTCTTCAATTTTAGCTTTAGAGCCGGGTTTCTTTAGTACTGCTGTCTGGGTCGCTAGCGTGCAAAAAAGGCCCACACCTCGCCCCTCTCCCCTCTCCCTCGCCACCCCGCTCCTTCCTTCTGGATCCGCCGGTGAGACAACCTCTCGAAAATTCACACTAACAATTAGCCTTTGCAGGGCTACGTCTATATTTCCACCCTTAAAAAGTTCTTCCTATCGGACCCGATCAAAGTCCCCTGTTTCCCCTCAACACTTTCTTAAGCCAGGAGGCAAGAAATCCAGAAAAGTCTCCACAGCTACATAGAGATTGACCAATTTCACAAAAGCAGCATTTAACGGTGGGCGAATTTTCTCGGGTCAGGAGCTATGCATTGAATCACGAAATGGATGGACCGTTGAGATGATAATTTGAGCGGTGCATTCATCGGTTAACTATGGCTCTCTGGATGATCTTCGGGGTTGGCAGGTTTTTCAGTTGCTCTGTCCAGTGGTGCTTCGCTTGGTTGTCAGCCTACCGCTGGCCATCCTGATCTTTAATCTCCAGAAGGGATTACCACCTTTCAAGGCAACTACTAAAACTCGGCTCGGCTCGGCTCGGCACGGCTCGGCTCGGCTCGGCTCGGCTCGGC